CAACCACTCCCTTCTCATCTGCCTAACCTGGGATTAACCGTTTGCTTTGTGTTTCTTTGGGCCTTTCTGTGTTTGACAGAGCACCTTTCTATGGCTTTAAAAAATAAATAAAGATGGGCTTAGGTTGCACATGTGGTTTTTGTAATGTACAGGATCATGTTGCATGGACATAGCTTTCTAAAATGCTGGATGCTTTCGGGTTCCCTTCAGTCTGAAGTGCTTATTATAAAAATCACAGAAGCAGATAAGCATAGGACGGGAAGAAAGTCCCAAAGAGAACCATCTATTTCAGTCTTAAAGACAGAGCCAAAGGTCTAGAAAGCGCTTCAGAGGACGCCAGTTGGCAAAGGTCCCTCAGGGAGGGGAGGAGGATGGGGGCAGCAGGGGAGGGAGCCTTGGCTTTATCTACTCGACATCTGTGCCTTTCTGGTTGGTTTTTTTGGTGGGGGGAGATGTTTTGTTTGTTTTGGTTTGTGGAGACAGAGTTTCTCTGGATAGCCCTGACTCTATAGACCAGACTGACCTTAAACCCAGAGATCTGCCTACTTCTGTCCCCCGAGTGCTGAGATTAAAGGTGTGCGCCACCACCATCTATACTTTTATACGTTATGTGGGTGTTTTGTTTTGTTTTGTGATAGGCCTTGCTATGCAGTCCAGGCTCACCCAGAACTCACTATGTGCACCAGGGTGGCCTGGAACTTGCTATGCCGACAGGCTGGTTTTTTACTTGTGGCATTCTTCCTGCATTTGTAGCTGTGTACCATTATGCCCAGGTATTCGGTTTTGGTAATTCAGTAACATTTTATTGAGATGTAATTAACACACTATGACTCTGCCCTCCTCTTTTTTATTTGCAGTGCTGGGACTTGAACCCACGCCAGCCAAATGCTCTACCTTTAGGCTACATCCCTAGCCCGAGTTTGCCCTTTTAAATTGCAGGTAGTGGGTTGCACAATTGTGTATCCATCCCTGCTCTCTAAATCCAGGACATTTTTGTCACACCCTAACAAAAACAAGCCAACCTTATTAAGAGCACACCTCTTAGCCGTCACTCCCCAGTCCCTCCGCCAGCTCTTCAACTATATATTTTCCATATATTTGGGATTTGCCTGGCCTGGACATTTTGTGGAAATAGAACCTGATGCTCCATGCCTGTTAAGTGACAAAACTGTTCCTGGGAGGACACACACAGGTCTAGACACCCCAGACGGGATCCCACGACAGACCAAAGGACAGGTACCACCAAAGCCCAACTTTGTGAGCCAACAGGTTTTATTGGGGTTATTTACAGGAGTATGGGTGAAGGGCAACTCACAGAAGCAGAAATGACTCACAGGCAGCTGCATCACTAAGGTCCACCCCGGCACAGGTGACAGCTCACAAACGCTGGGAAACCTGGAGCCCACTGCACAGCCTGCAAGTAGCTCAGCAGGTTGGAGTGTGTCCTTCCCAAGTGACTCTGGTCTAACGCTCTTCCAGGCAGCTCTGCTGGTTTCTGATTCTTCCAGGCAGCTGATCTGGTCTTAGACTCTTTGCAGCTTTTCTCCGCTGAGAGTCGTCTTCGGAATTCGGCTTCACTTTGTGTGAAGCTCTCAGCTTTTATTGCCGACTCTGGCGAAGAGGGGCCTAGTGAGCCCGGTCAGTTTCAGGGACTTCTGAACCTGTTTGGAGTTGTTTACATTCTTGCTTAAGGAGCTTCCTGCAATATGAAATGTTTTAATCTCAGAGGAAACTGTCCAGCGACAGTGCCTGCCGTGTCAGGATGGCCTTGCTTGCTTCTTCCAGGCACCCAGCAGCCCTGAGCATCAGGACCCCATTCCTTTCATGACTAAGTTTTTATTGTGTGGACACGCCATGGGTTGTTACTTGAGTCCTCATCTGGAGAGCATATTCGGTCATTTGTAGGTTACGTCCATTCCTCCACAGACTGTTTAGGTGGTTATTTGTTAGCCTCCTATAGCAACTCCTTGGTCATGCTCAGTCTTTTTACATCATCTCACAGGTATGTATGTGATAACTGAGAACCCTTAGGGATCCAGCTCTCTTCACTTCCTTGCTGTGATCAGGGGAACTTGGTGGTGCTGTGATTACCCACCTCATGGGTTTCTAGGGAGGTGAAGGAGTTTCCACTCAGTCCGTGATGGCAGGCCCGTCTTTCAGGCGGGGAGTCTGATGCAGAGCACCTCCTCATCACTCCATAGGAGTCTCCCTCTGAGCTTTCCCTTCCAGGCTGCTTGTCCTGGTACACCACCTCTCATGAAACGGCTTGTTCTGTGACCAGCATGCCCAAAGCCCTCTTTTGAAAGCTCTGAGATTCTTTGCTCTTGGCAGGCTGGTGGCATCCAAACCCTGTCTCCATCTTCCTGCCTCATTGATGTTCTCAAGGTTCTCTAAATGAGTTTAGAGTTAGAGTGAGTTAGAGTGGGCTGAGAAGATGTAAAAACACCAGACTCTGAAGTGGTGGCTTTCCTTGGTGTTTTCCTAAATCCCCCAGGTAATTCTTCCCTGCATGCAGCTTGGAAACCACTATGTTGGCTCCACTCTAGCCCTCGTCAAAGACGCATTTTCTCCCACCAAGCCTTTGGAATGCAATGAGGAGCTAGGTCAAGAACTGGTTGTAGGTTGGCTTTGGTTTTGCTACAGAACTCTGGTCAAGTTCCTGCCCCTTTCTCAGTTTCAGTAAAGCAGGCCTTGATGGATTAGAGAATAGCTCCATGGTTAAGAGCCCTGACTGCTCTTCCAGAGGACCCTGGTTCGAGTCCCAGCACCACTGGCTTCTTCAGGCACTTCACACATGTGATGCACATGCAAACATGCAGGCAAGGCACCCATACACATAATATAAAAATAAATAAAAATAAGTCTGTCTTTCATGCCTGCAGTAATGGGGAATGGGATGAAGGTTGGGAGTGAACATATATCTAAAGCCACTGGGGAGCATTTTCAGAAATCCGAGTGGGCAGCTCAACTCAGAAAGTTGAAAGCGACCCAAGTGTGGTTTCAAAGGCTGGTGGCATGAATCATCCCTCTCTCGGGAGGAAATGTTCAATGGAATCGTGCGTTTAATTGAATGACTTCTTTAAACAACAAGAAACTTCAGCACTGATTACTATAGCATTTCCTCAAATTCCCCACCATGGGGCTTGTGCCGTTTTGCACTCCTGCCAGCAATAAATGAGCCTTCTTGTTTCGTTCGAGCCTCACCAATAGGATGTATTGTTAGATGGTTTGGCCTTTTGCCAGTTTGATCATTGAGAAGTGGTACCTCAGGGTAGCTTTCCTTTGGGCATCTCCGCCCTGAGTGGGGCCAAGCATCTTTCCAGAGTTAAGATCAATTTGCCTTTCTTCTGTAAACTTTCTTCCTCCCTGGCTGGGGATGGAACCTAGAACCCCATGCACAGTGGACAAGCTCTCTCCCATTGAATAGTACCCCCAGTCTTTTGGGTTTTTTTGTTTTTTGTTTTTATTTTTTTTAGGCAAGGTCCTAATCTGTTGCACAGAAGGACTTGAATTTATGATTTCCCTGCCTCAAGCTCCTGAGTAGCTGGAATTCTAGGCCTGCCCCCTGGGTCTGAGTGCCCATGCTCTTGTATTCCTAACCTGTCTTCCTATTGAAGATCTCACCAGTTCATTGTTTATCTTTTTTTTTTTTTTTTTTGATTTTTCGAGACAGGGTTTCTCCGTAGCTTTTGGTTCCTGTCCTGGAACTAGCTCTTGTAGACCAGGCTGGCCTCGAACTCTCACAGAGATCCGCCTGCCTCTGCCTCCCGAGTGCTGGGATTAAAGGCGTGCGCCACCACCGCCCGGCTCATTGTTTATCTTTTAACTGTGTGTGTGTGTGTGTGTGTGTGTGTTTCTGGAGACGAAACCCAGGGCTTGGGACACATTAAGCCAATTTTCTACCACTGAACTGTGTTGGGACCAAGATGGTTTGTTCTCTGTTTCGTTTTTAATCTGTGTAGTGTTTGCCTGTGTGATCAAAAGTATCAATTCCCCTATCTGCAGCGCTTCTGGGTGTGTGGATCTTTGCTTATTAGTCTCTCGCGACCATTTTTGAGACTCCTGTGCTGTTTCTAGTTTTGTACCCACATTTTGTTCATTAGTATTCATTCTGTGTTCAAGGTCCTTCGAAATGTCACTTCCTGTGAGACGGAGATTTGCATGCAGAGTTTTAGGGAAGAGCCCCTTTGGCTGTGACAGGGAGTGAGGCAGAAATAGAAACTGAATCACAGAGATGGCATCAAGTCGAGCTAGTTAGTGGCCCTTTGGGGTTGGGGCACGTGGACCTGGGCTAGTCTTTAGATGTGGGTTCCGCCCAGGGAGAGCACCTCAGGTGCTCCCCTTAGCCAGTGAGCACCACCAAGAACAGCCCTCAGCTTGGAGGTCTTTTGGTCCTGAAGCAGGAGGAAACAGCATCCTCTGGGTAGCTCATTTGTCTAGTTCAGTGTCATCTTCTCTGCACCTCGGGTGTACTCAAGAAATCTCCAATGAGCCAACGAAAGACAACCAAGCGTCAGCCATGAAAACACACACACCAGTGACATCTGCAGCGAGAGGCTGTGTTTATGTATTTAGGAACACACACATGTGTAGCCACACTTAAAGGAAGAGGCCATGAATTTGAATGAGCGGAGGTAAGAGGGAAGGAAGGGAGAAAATGATGTAATTATATTATATTCTGGGGGGAAAAAAGCCCAAAACCACAACAACAAAGACTACAAGAGCACAAATTCCAATTTCCAGCCAACAGGATGACAGGGATGACAGGGATGACAGCGGCTGGAGAGGGTGCCGTGGGAAGGAGCCCCAGGCAGGGTATTTAGTTACTTCCTCCAGTCTGTCTGCCCTGTGCAGCTCACACAGTGATCCCTGGCTCAGCCTTGGGCTCTGGCCAACACATACAGGCTGGGTTGGGGCCCTCAGTGTGGCCGTTTGGGGACACCTCTTTGGATGTGTGTCATCTGCGTGATCTTTCAGTTTGGCTTCTTCTTTCCTCTTAGCATTCCTTGAAGAAAAGAGGAACCCGATCTCTGGGGAAGACAGATAAGAAGCCCACTGCACAGGTATTTCCTCAGCATCCCTCACGCACCCTGCCTGTAGTTTGGAAGCCCAGACCAACTTTGAGCGTCCTGGGTAGTCCCCAGAAGTCCCTAACATACACACACCCCCACCCCGTCTCCCTATGCATTTTCTTCCCCTGCGCGTTTCTCGACTTCTCAGCATTTTCCTTCCCCCAAGTCCACTCTGAACCCATACTTAGATACTCCTGGACCTGCAGATTGCTTACCCAGCATAAGGACAACTAAACCCAAGGTTCAGGGCCAGAGACCTTAAACTTGGACTCTGCAGCTTGATTGCTGTCCGACTGAGACAAATCACGTCAACTTTCTCATCTGTTTCCTCATCTGTTCCTGTTCTGTGGGTTTGTTGTAAGAATTAGATAAAAAGCACCATGTTTTGCACGGGCCAGGCACAGAATCCTGTTAACAGCCAGGGTGTCAGGCACTTTTTGTACATTTTCCCATTTAACACTCATCGTGTGGGAGAGGAACGGTTTCTGTCCCTTTTACAGATGGGACAGTTCTATCAGGAATGTACATAGTCAGTCATAATGTCACCGCCTCCAAGTCTCTGAGATTGTAGGCAGTGTGCCCTGGCCTCTCAATATCAATGTCATCTCGTTGCCCCCCTCCCCCAGCTCTGCTTCCTGTGGCCTCTAGGCTTCGATTCAGCCCTGTGTTCTCAGACATAGTCAGTGCACCCCAGAATGCTGTGGCTGGATCCGAGCTGACAATAACCTTCCTTAATGCTGTCTGTCTCCGTGTCCATTGGGCCGCAGGAGGACAGTGCAGATCTGAAATGCCAGCTGCATTTCGCAAAGGAGGAGTCGGCCCTCATGTGCAAGAAGCTCACCAAGCTGGCCAAGGAGAACGACAGCATGAAAGAGGAGCTGCTCAAATACCGCTCCCTCTATGGGGACCTGGACGCAGCCCTGTCCGCGGAAGAGCTGGCTGATGCTCCTCACTCCCGTGAGACAGAGCTGAAGGTGCACCTGAAGCTGGTGGAGGAGGAGGCCAACCTCCTGAGCAGGCGCATCGTGGAGCTGGAGGTGGAGAACCGGGGCCTTCGGGCCGAGATGGATGACATGAAGGACCACGGGGGCGGTGGTGGCCCCGAGGCCCGGCTGGCTTTCTCTGCTCTTGGTGGTGGTGAGTGCGGGGAGAGCCTGGCCGAGTTGCGGCGCCACCTGCAGTTCGTGGAAGAGGAGGCAGAACTGCTGAGGCGCTCCTCGGCGGAGCTGGAGGACCAGAACAAGTTGCTGCTGAACGAGCTGGCCAAATACCGGTCTGAGCATGAGCTGGACGTGACTCTGTCGGAGGACAGCTGCTCGGTGCTCAGCGAGCCCTCGCAGGAGGAGCTAGCAGCTGCCAAACTGCAGATCGGCGAGCTCAGCGGCAAGGTTAAGAAGCTGCAGTATGAGAACCGCGTTCTCCTCTCCAACCTGCAGCGCTGTGACCTGGCCTCCTGCCAGAGCACACGCCCCATGCTGGAGACAGACGCTGAGGCCGGGGACTCTGCACAGTGTGTGCCTGCCCCTCTGGGCGAGGCGCTGGAGCCCCACACTGCCCGGCTCTGCAGGGCCCGCGAGGCTGAGGCGCTGCCTGGGCTGAGGGAGCAGGCCGCCCTGGTCAGCAAGGCCATCGACGTCCTCGTGGCTGATGCCAATGGCTTCTCGGTTGGCCTCCGCCTGTGCCTGGACAACGAGTGTGCAGACTTGCGGTTGCATGAGGCGCCTGATAACAGCGAGGGCCCCAGGGATGCCAAGCTCATCCATGCCATCCTGGTGCGGCTGAGCGTGCTGCAGCAGGAACTGAACACTTTCACACGCAAGGTGGATGTGGCCTTGGGGAGCTCTGGCAAGGAGCAGCCAGAGTCCTTCCCTGCGCTGCCCACCTTGGGCTCCCAGGGGCCCTCTAAGGAGATCATACTGGCCAAAGACCTTGGCTCCGACTTCCAGGTAAGATGCCCAGGGCAGGGTCCTGTTACTTTTATTACATACAAACTTTGTGCTGGAACAGGCACAGGACAGAGAAGGATGCAAATCCACGTATACAAACAATTTTATAACTCGCCTGCAGTCCACAGGCATTTATTTATCATCCAGAACATGACCAGCCCCAAGGCTGCCCTGATCAATCTCCCTGTTGGGCACTATCCCTGCTTCCCAGGACAATCTCCTAGTTTTATCCATCTTTGAACTTTATATAGGTGGAATTATACAAACCAAACACAGCAGTGCCTGGCTTTGTTCACTTGGTCTGCTATTTGCTGTAACAGGTAGTAAAAATGTATTTATTCCAACTTACTAAGTATAAAATAAGCCTATTGGTTCAGTGAATAACTGCCAAGCAGGCATTTACTGCTGATGGAGGTTGAGTCTGAGGTCCTCTGTTTTTGCTAGATTGTCCCTTTCTCCCTTACCTTCCCTCCCCTCCCATCTCCTCTTCCAGTGCTGGGGACAGAACCCAGGGCCTCATACATGCTAGTCAAGTACTCTACCATTGAGCCGCATCCCTGGCCCCCTCTTTTTAAAACATCTTTGAAAATTTACATATGTGCATATGTGTATATATATATGTCACCTGTGTATGGGTGTCCACAGACGTCAGAGGAAGGTGCCGGAGCCTCCAGAGCTAGAGTTGCAGGAGGTTGTGAGCTCCTTAGTGAGTGTTAGGAACTGACCTTGGGTCCTCCCGAAGAGCACCAAGAGCTCTTAATCATTGGGCCGTTTCTTTTCTTATCTCGTTTGTAACTAAAATTTTTATTACACTTATTTGCGGAGGATGTGTTAGGGGAAGCCATTGTGGACAGGTACTGGCCACAGGAGTCAGTTCTCAGATGGTCCTGGAGATCAGTTCAAATTCAATTGTCAGGCTTGGTAGCAAGTACCATTCCCATTAAACTATCTTGCTAGCCCATATTTTAAATTTTCAGGCAAATGTTTGTGTTTTTTAAGCCTTCTAATGAGTTTTTGAGAAGCTTAGTCTTGATATCTATGACATGCTATGTAGAAAAACTAAAATAGCAAAGACATCATAAATTTGCAAAGTATTATTGCAAATGCAATACATAAATGTTTGAAGCAAAGACAAAAAAAATAAGCGAATACGTTGTGTTCCTGCTTACCACTTCCTGCCAGCACCTCTGTGGATGAAGACTGGTGATATTCAGTACAGGTGCCACATGCCGCAGCCATGTGGGGATGTGGCTCAGTGGTAAGGCACTTATCTTAGCATGCAGCAGGGGCTCCATCCCCAGCACAGACAGAAACAACCCAAAACTCCCAAGACAAATTTTTAAAATGAACAAAGATGACATAGCATTGAACTGCAGTTTCTTGGTTGCAGTTCCACATTTTGGGTGCTTGTGTCTAGCTGGGTCCTGGAAGGTCGCTTTCTAAACCTCTGTTACATGCCCTCTCCTGGGCTTGCTTTTTGCTCCTTTTGTTTCATGTTATAGCTACTGTTGCTGGATCACGTCTTCCGTGTCCGTTTGCTGGATACTTTGTTGCTAGTTCCTACCCTTTGTGCTCAGCACAGGATTGGTGGTGGTCGGTAGAACCAGATAGGAATAGGGTTCCCACTCCAAAGGGTCTTATTGCCTAGTGAGGAAGACTTAATCAACATTGCAAGCCTGTGAATGTGGTATGAAAAGCAGACGAGGGACCCGAAAGAAAGATACATAGTTTCTATCAACAAGGAGCTTGTCCTGGTTCTTGAAGACGCTCAGCTCATATAGAAGGAAGGTGGTATATTCAAGGAACTGTGCAGAGCCATGGGGCTGGGCTGCAGAGAGTATGGGGTGGTTTGGTTTTCATACTGAGAGTGGATTTCCGTCCATGGCACCGCACCGTACTATATAGTAGCTTCAGCTCATGCTTTGCTGTTGCTGCTTAAGATGGCTTCATAAACAAGAGGACAGCACCATGTTGAGTCTCCTTCTTGTCTCGTCCTGAAGTATGAGCTGGGATCACACAGGGGGGTAGAGCAGTGGAACTGTTTCTGCAGCCTTTGCATAACAACCGTTCACAAATTCGTGTTTTCACTTGCCCACGCGTTCGGCTTTGCAACAAGCCGTCATTGAGTGGCGGGAATGCTCCCTGGTAAGACGAAGTCCAGGTTGCAAGGCCGATCCACCTGAGCCTCACTCTCATGTGGACAACCCTATTACGGAGCTGAGGCCTGGTGGGGACCTTCTGAAGCTCTCCTCGCGCGTCTCCCCATGGCTCTCTTCTGCTTGTGCCCCTCGCTTTAGCCATCTGACTTCAGAGACTTGCTGGAATGGGAGCCTAGGATCCGGGAGGCCTTCCGTGCTGGTGACTTGGACTCCAAGCCTGACCCCAGTCGGAACTTCAGGCCTTATCGAGCTGAAGATAATGATTCCTATGCCTCTGAGGTGGGTGGAGGGCTAAGCCGGAGGTTGGGTTGAAGGAGATTAGTTGGGGCCCTCTCAAAAGCAGGGTGATCCTTCAAGGATGGTGCTAGGGGCTTTGGGCATTCTGTTTGGTTTTAAGCTTCCTGACAGCCAGGACAAAAATAGGAAATAAGGGCTGGGCGGTGGTGGTGCATGCCTTTTAATCCCAGCACTCGAGAGGCAGAGACAGATGGATCAGAGACAGTAAGACCAAGGCCAACCTGGTCTATAGAGTATGTTCCAGGACAAGCGCCAAAGCTACAGAGAAACCCTGTCTAAAATCCAAATAATAAATAAATAAATAGACTAATTAATTTTTAAAAAGGAAGTAAGGAATTTGAATCAACCTCATGGTCTAGTTAGAGAAAGCTTAGCTGGACATGGTGTGTACCTGTAATCCCAGTATCAGAATGCTGAGGCAGGAGAAATGCTGAGCTGGAGGCCATCGTAAAATGACTAATGTATATAGGAGAGAGGCAATGGTCTCTCTATGCAGGCTCTTTGAGTTCATGTTGTAAATCTCCTGCACGCAGGCTGTGAGATCTTGGGTTGTCAGGTGTGATCTGCAGGCACAAAGCCCCTCCTAGGGTTGTTGACAGGTAGATACATGAAAAGCTTTAGCTTAAAGTCGGGCTGCTATGGGTGAGGATGAGAACAGAGTCCAGGAAATGTCACTTGGACTCAGGGGACCTGAACAAGATGTCACTCACTGGTCTGTGGTAATTCCTTGGATACTTTCACATCCTGTGGCCCCAGCTTTCCCACCTACAATATTTATGGTCAGTAGAATTTCTAAGGTTCTCTGATCCTTAAAAAGTTCCCTCTGCACTTTGAGCCTCAGATGCTCCCCGGAAACCAAACCTTCCTGGAAACTGAGGTGGTCTGGACAATCTAGTAGTCATAGGGGAAGGAGAAAAAAAAAGGGAAAAACGGTGTCTGGGCATGTAACTGACTGTAGTGCTGTGTACTTACCGTGCAGATGACCTAAGCTTTGATCCCAGTGGGGAGATGGGTACCGAGAAGGAAATAAGCTTGTTTGTGTCAGCTTGTTTACACATTTAATCAGTTCCCTTTATTCTTACTGAGCAGTTATGACTGAAACCTGAAACGTGGCACCAACCCTGAGTTCAGGGAGGATGTGTGAGGGTAGCAGCCTGATGATAAAGAGATTTTTGTTTGCTGAGCCAGGGTCTCAGTGTGTAGACCACACTTACCTCAAACTTAGCATCCTCCTGCCTCCAACTTCTAAGTGCTGGGATTACAGGCACATGACATTTTGCCCAGCTCTGCAGAAATTTTTTAATACAGAGCATGTGTACAAGACATGCCTCAAATCCTTGCAGAGACAGTGCCAAGTTATCATATTATTGGCCACATAATTTTTTCACAGCAGGACACCCGCCATGCCTGGGACCATTTCCATTTTCCTCTTCCTGCACAATGTGTTAGAATAAACATTACCATTATCAGAAAGACTTAATAGTGTTCTTTTAATTTTTCGAGATGGAGTCTCACTGTGTTGCTCAGGCTGGTCTCAAACTCACAGGCTCAGGTGATCCTCCTGTCCCATGCACCACTTCATTTCATCTGGCTAAAACTTTTTGCTCCTGGAGTCTAACAACAAAGTGTCAGTGGGATGGGGCTGTGGCTCAGTGATGAAGCACTTGCTTAGCATGGGTGGGGCCTTGAGTCCAACCCCAGCATGAACACACACGTGCATGCGCGCACACACACACACACACACACACACACACACACACACGTAGGGAAGGAACAGGGGAAGACGGGAAGATGAATAAGTGCTTATGGCTTTGTACAGACTGAGTCCTTTGCTCCCCTGTGGTGCTTTGAGACAGGATGTTGCTTTGTAGCCCTTGCTGGCCTCGAGCTCATGATCTTCCTATTTTGTAATTAGCATTTATATCCATAAACGGACCCCAGGAAGTTCCTTCTGTGTTCCCTTCTAGTCTCTATCTGGACTTACGAAAGAAGAGGTTTTAAAACACGTTTTACACGTATGTATTTATTTAGTGTGTGGATGCGCATGTGCACATTGTGCTGCACGTTCTACTGTGCATGCACCATGCATGTCTAAGTCAGAGGACAGCTTGTAGGGGTCATTCTCTCCTCCCACCATGTGGGTCCTGATGCTGGTCTACAAGAGCTTTTATCTGCTGAGCCATCCTGCCAGGCCAAGAACGCCTCAGCTTTGCCTATTTAAGTTCTAAATGCTTTTAAAACATCATTTCCCCCACAAATTGGAGAATTTGGTTGACTTTTTTTTAATGGTCTTGTTCCATAGTCGTTGTAAGCCTTAGTAAGTACAATTGTATCCTCAGACATCAGTACATGAAGATTATAAAGAAAGTTAAGGCCATTATATAACCAACCATGTCGACAGCTGACGTGTTTCTGTTCTGTAATGACATACAAACACAACATCTGTAAGTGTACAGCCGAGTGGATTTTTGCATATGTAGACCCATTAAACACATTTTAAATTTCATTATTTATTTAAATTGCTTCTAAAATTTTTATATTAATTAAATTTATTCATTTATTTTACATCCCAATCAGTTTCCCCTTCCCCCTCTCCTACCATTCCTTCCCTCCACCTCCCTTCCACCCCACCCCACCCCTAATCCACTTCTGTTTCTGTTCACAAAGGGACAGGCCTCCCACAGGTATCAGCAAAGCATGGCATATTAAGCTGTGGTAGAATTAAGCCCTTCCCCTTATATTAAGGCTGGGTAAGGCAATCCGGTATAAGAAATAGGTTCCCCAAAGCCAGCCAAAGCGTTAGGGACAGCCCCTGCTCCCACTACTAGGAGTCCACAAGTAGACCAAGCTACATAAGTGTCACACATATGTAGAGAGCCTAGACTGGTCCCATGCAGGCTCCCTGGTTTCTGTCCAGACCCTGTGAACTTCCATGAGCCCAGGTTAGTTGTTTATGTGGTTTCCTTTTGATGTCCTTGACCCCCCCTACACCCGGCTTGCACAACCCTTCTCTCTCTTTTCAGCAGGATTCCCTGAGCTCAACCCAATGCTTGGCTGTAGGTCTCTGTATCTGTTTCCATCAGTTGCTGGATGAAGGCTCTCTGATGACAATCAGGGTAGCCACCAACCTATGAATATAGCAGAATATCGTTAAGCATCGTTATGTTGACTTTTTTTTTCCTCTGTGTATGGAAAGATCTCCCATGCTCCTGAATGGGTAGGATTAACTTAGTAAAATGTCCATCTTACCAGAAGCAATCTACAGAGTCAATGCAATCCCTATCAGAATTCCAACACAATTCTTTACAGACCTTGAAAGAACTTCATATGAGAAACAATGGATAGCCAAAACAATCCTGTACAATAAAAGAACTTCCAGGGGTATCACCGTCCCTGATTTCAAGCTCTACTATAGAGCTATAGTAATAAAAACAGGCAGGCAAATCAACGGAATCGAAGACCCAGACGTAGATCCACACGCCTATGGACAACTGACTTTTGACAAAGAAGCTTCTAAATTTTTAATTATAAACGATGAAGTGGCATGTGGTGGCGAGCACCTGTAGCCCCAGCTTCTTGGGAGACTAGAGCAGGAGGATGCCAGGAGCCCAGGAGTTTGAAAAAGCCTGTGAAAAATAGTGAGGCTGAGTCAAAAATAAGTGAATCAATCAAAGAGCCTATGAACAACTTTGTGAGTCAAATTTAGTTTCCACAGTACATTTTCCCTGTAAATTTGCAAGTGAGAAATGTTAAAAATTATAGCATGGAGGATTTGACGTGTACGGCTTCATTTAACTGTCTCGATGACCCTCTTGAGGCAAGGACCGTGTTGTGTCTAATAGAGGACGCCGGGTCCGTCTTCTTGTTGATTCCCTGCTACTGCCGTTCTTTGACCACAGCCTGTGTCCTCTCCCCACTCCTGGTCTGGCCCCCACCCCACTGCAGATCAAGGAGCTTCAGCTGGTTCTGGCCGAGGCTCATGACAGCCTCCGGGGCTTGCAAGAGCAGCTGTCCCAGGAGCGGCAGCTCCGGAAAGAGGAGGCTGACAGCTTCAACCAGAAAGTAGTCCAGGTGGGTTTGTACCACGTTTTATTTTCACCCGTACAACTTCTCCCAGGACTGAAGATACAGAGTCGTGGTGAAGCTCTGTGGCCAACCACTTGCCCAGAATGTGGGAGTCTCTGGGCTCTGTCCCCAGCATAGAAAGAAATCCCTGGGTTCGATGGGCTGCTATCGGTAGAAGCCCTGGCAGGGACAAGTAGGCGCTTGCCATTACTGTTCCCCTCTGCCCGTGATCTGGATCTGGAATCAGCTGGGACTTCCCGTGTTCCCTCCCGTCCTGACAGCTGAAAGAAGACCAGCAGAGAGCGTTGCTGAGGCGGGAGTTCGAGCTGCAGAGTCTGAGCCTCCAAAGGAGGCTGGAGCAGAAATTCTGGAGCCAGGAGAAGAACATACTGGTGCAGGAATCCCAGCAGTTTAAGCACAACTTCCTGCTGCTCTTCATGAAACTCAGGTGGTTCCTGAAGCGCTGGCGGCAGGGCAAGGTTCTGCCCCACGAGGAGGATGACTTCCTGGAGGTACGGCTGAGCTCAGCCCCATCCCTGAGCGGGAACAAGGAGGCATGGGGTGTGAGTTCTGCCTCTCTGTCTGAACAGTGCCAGGGTAGAGGGAGGGTCACAGTTACGATGTGGGAAGTCAGTGATGGGCTTTCGCTCATCTTGAGACGGGCTTTCGCTCATCTTGAGACTCTTGTCCTTCTGCATGGCTGTGCCATCCCCTTTCTGTCTGGACTGCCTGCTTGCCAGTTTCCCTATGCTCTGAAGGCTGAGCCCATTGAATGTGGCTTCTCAAACCAGGTGAACAGCATGAAGGAACTGTATCTGCTGATGGAGGAAGAAGAGATGAACGCCCAGCACTCGGATAACAAGGCCTGCACAGGGGACAGCTGGACCCAGAACACGGTGTGTACAGCCCCTTCTGGTCCTGCTTATGTGCACCTCATCCGTTAGCGATCACTTCCTGCTGTGTTCTCACACAGCCCTAATGGGACACAGGATCTGCAGATGGTTATTCACTGGGAACCGGCCCACCAGTTGCTCAGGGTTAGGGGAACATGAGTCATCCCAGGGTAGTGACAGAAGGCCAGATAAACTTGAAGTCACAGGAAGGAGAGCAGTTGGTTTGTTGTACAGAGAAGAATTTCACAGAGAAGTGTCACATGGGTGAATAGCCTTGTCGAGTTCCGAAAGGGTGACAGGCCATATCAAAGCAAGAGGACTGTGGGTACAGAGGTGTGGCACAGTGTGCTGGAGGGTCTGTGACCAGTGTGACCCTGGGAGAGGGGAAGGCTACCAACCAGGCCAGGGTACAAGAAGAGAGACCCCTGTGGTCTAGACTTAAGGAAGAACTGTCAAATCAAGCCACAGGTCAGAGGAGCTATGGAGTCAGCCTCCCAGGGTTCTCCAGTGAGCTGGGGTATGGGTGAGCAGTGTGTGAGGAACCAGGAAAAGGGGGTACTGTTTGAGAGGCTAGAGACCTGCAGCCTGGGGCCTGCAAAGCCTGGGGAAGGTTGTTCCTCTGCATCTGAGCAGAACAGCTGCTCCTGGAACAATTTATAGCTGCTCAGCTCGGCTGTCCCAAGACTGAGACCCGGAGGGCCCTAGCTGGACTACCAGCTGAGTCAGCGGTAGCAGGGCTGCCCTCCCTGCCTTCACATAGTTCTTGACCAGGCCTTGCTCTGTCTGTAGCCTAACGAGTACATCAAGACCCTGGCTGACATGAAGGTCACACTGAAGGAGCTGTGCTGGCTGCTCCGGGACGAGCGTCGGGGTCTGACTGAACTTCAGCAGCAATTCGCCAAGGCCAAGGCCACGTGGGAGACAGAGCGGGCAGAGCTCAAGGGCCATGCCTCGCAGGTGAGCCACCTCGCTTCTTGGGCACATCTCCTTCCATGTTCCCAGTCCGGATCTAGACCATCAAATCTAGGCAGGTACTAAGCAGTGCTCTTGAATGCACAGGACCCCTTAGTGTTGAAATAAGAGCGGCAGGGCTGCGTTCCCAGCACCCCGGCCGCCTGCTTGGCTAGCTTATGCCCGAAATAACAACACACAAACTGTATTCATATAAACACTGCTTGGCCCATTTCTATTTAGCCTCTTCTAGGCTAACTCTCGCACCTGGACTAGCCCATTTCTTATCATCTGTGTAGCACCGGTCTTACCGGGAAGATTCTAGCCTACGTCCATCCTGGGTCAGAGCTTCATCGCATGCATCTTCCCGGGAGCGGGGAGCATGGCGTCTCTCTGAGGCGTCTGCTCCCGAGAGGAGAGCTGTGGAGTCTCTGAGCTCACTTCATCCTCTTCCCAGCATTCTGTTCTGTTTACTCCACCCACCTAAGGGTGGGCCTATCAAATGGGCCTAGCAGTTTCTTTATTACTTAACCAATGAAATCAACAGATTGATATATGACACTCCCACACCTTAGACTTCAGCTGTGACCTAGAGAGATTGACAGGATCCTAGGCTGCACTGTGGGCTTGCAGCATGCTTCCGTACCTGCCTGCATGCCACATCCAGCATGGCTCCGGGATGGACCTGACTAGGATGTAAGGGAATGAAGAAAAGACAGACGGACACAAGGATACACAGAAAGCTAGGGCTGGGGGATCTGGGCTTTCTGCTGGAGAAATCACACTGCTCTGGAAGCTTAGCCTATTTGTTTTGTAGATGAATAGAGCGGAGAGACAGTGGTAGGGTTATTAATACAGATAAATGAGGAGGTATGGCCAGGCGGTGGTGGCGAACGCTTTTAATCCCAGCCCTCAGGAGGCAGAGGCAGAGGCAGGTGGATATCTGTGAGTTTGAGGCCAGCCTGGTCTACAAAGTGAGTCCTAGGACATCCAGGGCTTTACAGAGAAACACTGTCTTGAATACCAAGAAGAAAAAAAATTGATAAATAGCATGGTTATCAATAGCTAGAGGCTCTGCCTATTGTAGCCAGATGTGGAATGCTTACAGAGGCTTAAAGGCATGAGATGCAGGGTCTGGCTTGTATGCAGAAGGGGTCCACAGCTCTGTTGGAAGGAGAATTAGCGTGGAGGGTCTCCAAAGCCTCCCTGGTATGGTGGGGATCCATTGTCCCCTGCCACTGCTCAGCTGATGCGTCTTCCTGCAGATGGAGCTGAAGGCTGGGAAGGGCGCCAGCGAGAGGCCCGGGCCTGACTGGAAGGCTGCACTGCAGAGGGAGCGCGAAGAGCAGCAGCACCTCCTGGCCGAGTCCTACAGCGCCGTCATGGAGCTGACGCGGCAGCTGCAGATGAGCGAGCACCACTGGAGCCAGGAGAAGCTGCAGTTGGTGGAGCGGCTGCAGGGCGAGAAGCAGCAGGTGGAGCAGCAGGTGAAGGAGCTGCAGAACCGCCTCAGTCAGGTGAGGCTGGATCCAGGCGCTCAGGCAGCAGAAGCGCTCAGAGAGAGGCGAGAGCCAAGCCATTGCCTTTGCCCCCGTCTTTCAGGCCCCCCTCTGCTCGCTCCGCTCTTACACATGCCAGCCTCACGTAAGGCCACTGTGTCCTGCTCATCTTACAGCTTAACAGTTGCAATAAGAACATTGTTTTCCCCGCAAGTTCACATTGGCCAGGCGTCAAGTCATGATAAGCCCATTATATTAGGGCCTATCAAAACCAGGACCCAAAAGGGAAGAGCCAAGAGCGCTTCCCATAGGAAAACTGCAGTCTCTGACCAAGAGAGGGAAACCAAGAGCTAGAACATCACAAAATACACACTCTTGTCTGGCTTCCTCCGTTTTTGCTATGTAGGTCTACGCCTGTGGAGAGTTTTCTGCTTGTTTGTTTGTTTGTTTGGTTGGTTTGGTTTAATTGAGTCATCATGTTCCTGCGTGCACACTCGCCTCTCCTGTGGAGAGCCTCATTCAGTTTAACTGCTGCCTGACTCCACCATTCATTATTCTGCACAAAGATCTAGGTCCCATGTTTTCATTGGGGAGCTGGCGAGGTCTCTCAGTTAATAGAGCACCTGCCTAGCATGCATGAAACCCTGGGTCGGATTCCCAGCATCACAGGAACCAAGCGGCGTGGCAGCTTGTGCCTATAACCCTTTGAGAGGTAAAGGCAGGAGAATTACAGGTTCATGGTCGTCATCCTCAGCTACCTAGTGAGTTTGGAGCCAGCCTGTTTTACAAGGAACCCTATCTCAAAAAACAAACAGGCAGAAAGTAGCCCTCTAGTGTGATATGTACATGTACATGCATACACAGTATTACACGTGTACATGTATATACAGTATTACACGTGTACATGTATACGCCATATTACACGTGTACATGTATACACAGTATTACACGCGTGCATGTATACACAGTATCACACGCGGACACGCACATGCAGTATCACACGCGGACACGCACACGCAGTATCACACGCGGACACGCACACGCAGTATCACACGTGGACACGCACACGCAGTATCACACGTGTACATGTATACGCAGTATTACACATGTACATGTATATACAGTATTACAATACTGCATTCAAAGGGCACTCACATGTATAGCGGGTCAAAAGGTGGCTGGCCTCAAGGGTTTTCCCATTGTCATCCATTGTTATCTCGTGTAGTGTTTGTCCCGTGTCCACCCCCACCCCCACCATAGCCAAAGCAGCATGCAGACCTGCTTTGGTTTTTCCTCGCCAGCTTCCTTGACTCCACTATCTTTGGACTCACCTGACCAGGACAAGCATCTCTCTAGGAGTTACCTTCTTTGTATGTCTTCTCAGAATGCAGTCTCCAACCCCCCCAACCCTGGAAGGTCACTTTGCAGATTAGCAAAATGACCCAAAATGTCCCGCTTAACTGTACGAAAACATGGCAGGAACCTCACATCTGGCAGATTTTTTTTAATATTTATTTTTGTTTCATGTGAATGAGTGGTTTGCTTGCATGTGTATATATGTGCCACATCCATGCCTGATGCCCTCAGGCCAGAAGAGGGTGTTGGGATTCTTGGAACTGGAGTTACAGATGGTTGTGAGCTGCCATGCGGGTGCTGGGAACTGAGCCTGAGTCCTCTGGAAAAGCAGCAAGTGCTTTTAACGGTTGAGCCGTCTCTCCAGCCCCAACATCGGGCATGAGCTGACCTCTTGCCAGGGACTGGGTTTTCTCCAGGGTCGCACTCCTAAAGGTCCCGTTTCCTTGGTGTCTGTGTGGCAGATTCAGGCACGCTCCCTGTGGTGTGTGGAACGCTGGGCAGAGCGCCCTTCGCCTCATCCGGCCACTTTTGCCTGTGGAACGATCCCTTCTTGTCACATTATTTCCTAATGGTTTGGAATCATTAAGCCAAATCCATGCCATGTTTAGTGGGGTATCAGCAGATACGCAGCTGGGACCTCCTGGCTCATAGGTACTGAGTGAGTCCTGCACTTCGTTTCCCAGCAGGGACCTTGTGTGGAATTTTCTGACTTCCTAGTTCTGATCTCCTGCTTCCCTCAGTCAAACCAGGACACCCAAAGTTGCATCATCTTTCTCGTATTTTCTTCCCTCTTCCTCCCTTCCTACTTTTCTTCCTTTTTTGCTTTACTTGTTTGTTTTGAGACTGAGACTCTGTGTTCCTCACTTAGTAGTTGTCCCAGACGAGCCTGGAATGCTCGGTTCTCCTTCTTCAGCCTCTCCAGAGCTAGGATCACCGGCATCAGTGCTCACATCCGTATTAGCTGCGCTCCCAGTGAAACCGGTCTAGTCAAACAGCCTGCAGAGCAGCAGGAAGGTATCTTAGTCAGTGTTCTATTGCTGTGAAGAGACACCGTTATCACTGCACCTCCTGTAAAGGAAAACATTTAATTGCGGCTGGCTCGTAGATTCAGTCTGTTATCATCATGGTGGGAAGCGTGGTGGCTCACAGGTAGACAAGGTGCTGGAGAAGGAGCTGAGAGTTCTATATACTGATCCAAAGGCAACAGGAAGAGAGAATGACAGTGGGCTTGGCTTGAGCATTTGAAACCTCAAAACCCATCCCCAGTGACACACTTCCTCTAATATGGCCACATCTACTCAAACAAGGCCACACCTTCTAATAGTGCCACTCCCAATGAGCCTCTGGGGGCATTTTCATTCAGACAACAAAGGGGCTCCTGATCAGAAGGCCTAGCCTAGTAAAGTCACCCTCTGATCTCCCAGCTTTGTCTGCACAAGGAAGATGGCTGTTTGACCTCATCCCTCAGGGCAACCATGGGAATAAAAGAGCTAGTTACCGGAGTGGCACAGTGTTCCTTGGCCCCCTGCCTGGGCCTTGGTTTAGCATCTTCATCTAAATTTCTGTTTCTTTTCATTCGTGTTGAGGTGACTTTGGTACCCTACCCACCCCCATTTTATTTGGGTTCCGAAGCAAAGTTTGAGTCATAGGTTCAAGTGCAAACAGGAGACCAGCCGTCCTGGCTTTGCTTAGGACTCCCACTTTACCCTTGGAACAGTCCTAGGCAGAACCTTCTTGCTTTTTCAGAACTACAAGGTTTGGGGGACATAAACCTTACTAACACTGGGAAAGCCTTGGGGAAACTGGGGTGAGTCACCCCTTGTGGGAGTCAGTTGTAAAGCCAAGGAGGAATTCCAGCTAAGTGATGGTGCAGTGCTTGGAATCCCAGCTGCTAGTGCAGCTGCACACATCTGGGCCAGTCCCTTCCTTTTGTCTTTATCCTCTCACCTGTGATGTGGAAGTAATCAGTCACGCCTGCTCCTGTGGTCACTTTGAGGATTAAATGAACTGATGGACACATGCACATGGACACTCTGGAAGCTATGGTGCTCCCAGGGTCGCCTCAGGCCTCAGCAGGAAGTAGTGGGTTGTTACTGACGACTGGCCCTTGATGGCAGATGGCAGCATGGTCCCTTACGTGCAATAGCGATTGCTTTTCTGCCTAGCTGTTCTAGGAACTCTACCATAGGCTAAGTAGCGACTGTTGACTCTGCTAGCCATGTCAGGAAGATGCCTGCCAGTAGCTGCGTGTTATTTACTGTTTGCTAAATCCACCTGTGGGGGCTCAGATCTGCTACGTACTGAGAAGCTAATGCCGGGCCATGGTGTGGATTATGAGGGCTATAGAGTTGAGCCCGCCGAGTCGCCCTGCTACGAGTAGCCCTGTCCACCCACCCACTCGCCCACACTCTTTCCCTTTCTCAGCTGCAGAAGGCTGCCGAACCCTGGGTCCTGAAGCACTCAGACCTGGAGAAGCAGGACAACAGCTGGAAAGAGGTGAGGACATCCCCGCTACCCATCTTTTATTGGCTCCCGGCAATGCTAAGGAATTTCTTGTTTATGGGAAAGGTGATGGAATGAATGTTAGCGCTGTCCCCAAAGCCATACCTTCCTCACACCCATGATGCCTGTCCATGGATTGGGGCTTGGAAGGGTCCTCTGCTGAGAATGTCTGACTATGCCTGGGGGAAGCTCCAAGCCACTGCAGTTATACTTCAGCAGAAAGCAGGCTAGGTGGTCTTAGGTGAGACACTCTCCATCTCTGAGCCCAAGCTGTCTCATCGCCCTGGCCTAGTCCTGAGTGGGGTCAGTAGGGTCACACTGGAGGAGTTTGCACATAGGTTCAGGGGCGTTGTCCATAGAACACAGAGCTGAGTAACAAAGGCTATATACAGGCCTTCGCATCGCCCCTCCCGCCTCATGAAGGCATACTACTCAGGAAATGGGGCTACAGAAGGCAAATGCCTATTCTGGGGAACTGAGACACAGGATTTGTGGGGCTTACAGGGCTAGTGACACAGTTCTGAGAACTCGTGGACCCTGAGGACCTGGTGTGGGAAAATCTCATACCATCATAATGATGCCATTACCATCAACCATATAACGCCGTCATGGAATAAGATCTGAGTCTCCAACAGCCCCTCTTTCCCTGGACCCACTTTGTCCACCGGGAACCTGAGCCTGGGCCACATTGCTGCTGGAGGCGAGTGAGGTGCAATGGTCTAGACACTGGCCAGTGGGCCTTTTCAACTGCAGCTGAGCACATCTTACTCGGAAGAGAGAACCCGCATGCGAGGCCTGGTCAGCTCCCACACTGGTCCTTTCTTTCACACGCTGGTCACCAGAACTGACTCTTCTTGTCTCTCCCTTTGACAGACACGAAGTGAGAAGACCCACGACAAGGAGGGTGTTTCTGAAGCTGAGCTTGGGGGAACCGCCTTAAAGAGGTGCTGGCCCCTCACCTTGCCCCCATCTTCCCCCATAGACCCTTGGGTTTGACTCTTTTTGCTTCCCTGCCCTGTGTGTCTGTCCTCTTCTGTCCCCGTGAGAGTTGGGAGAGCCACCAGATGGTTTTTTCTCTGGGACCCTGGTCACTCGGGTATGGGAAAGCTTGGGGCTATGAGGATTTCAGTGTGCAGTTTAATGTTGATTCTAGGTACAGAAAGCCAGGGCCTCAGCTGCGCTTGCTGGAAAAAAAAAAGCCCTTTGGCTCCTTTGAGGATTATCTTTTCCTCCCTGGAGTTTGAGTCACGGTAGATATCCATTCCTGGGGTTGTTGGACAGCGTCCATTGAACCCAGCCCCATGCTGCGACCAAGGGGACGTCCAAGGATAGTGTCTACACCACTAAAACCCTCCATGAAAGAAATGATGGGAAATACAGAACATTCTAGTATGAGGAGGCCACTGGGGCCAGAGAAGGTCAGGCTTCAATTCTAGCTCTGCCATTTCTAGCACCAGGGCCTTGGGTACCTCCCTCTCTATAGCGGGATAGTTGGAGATGCCCCCCTCATAGTGGGATAATTGGAGACGCCCCCTCTCTGCAGTGGGATAGTTGGAGATGCCCCCTCCCTCTCTTCTGTGGGATAGTTGGAGATGCCCCCTCCCTCTCTGCAGTGGGATAGTTGGAGATGCCCCCTCCCTCTCTGCAGTGGGATAGTTGGAGATGCCCCCTCTCTATAGTGGGATAGTTGGAGATGCCCCCCTCTTTCTATAGTGGGATAGTTGGAGATGCCTCCCCCCCTCTGCAGTGGGATAGCTGAAGACACTCCCCCCCCCACTGGGATAGTTGGAGACACTATCCCTAATGACCAGTCATGTGCAGGAGAGGACTCCCTGGAAGCAAACCCTACCTGGATATAAGACAGGGAGTGAAGACAGTGAGTCAAAGGAATTTCAGATGATTGGCAGGGGTCTGGGGTACTGCCAGGTTAGTCAGTGGGCAGCTGGAACTCAAAATTACTGAGGAGCCTGGGAGCCAGCAGAGGCCAAACGAGTCAGAGTGACCTCAACTGAAGTATGAGGAGGCCAGGAACTTACTGCAGATCCCACCCATTGTATGCTATGTTCAGGGGGATTGAAACTGCTGTTTCTGGCTTCCTCTATCAAGAGGCTAAGTGTGGTCCTAGTGTTCATGCCTCTTGAGTATGTAGGTAGGTGTATAGAGGATTTGAGGAGGTGCCAGCAAGGTTGTCTGTCAAAGAGAGGCAACACAGGCTTGGTCTCCACATGCATATCCAGGAAAGTAGACTAGCATGCTTGATATGTTATTTTCCATTAATCCTATTTTCTTCCTCTACTCTTCCCAGGACCAAATCAGTTTCCTCCATGTCTGAGTTTGAAAGTTTGCTCGACTGTTCCCCCTACCTTGCTGGTGGGGATGCCCGGAGCAAGAAGCTGCCCAACAGCTCTGCTTTTGCCTTTGTGAATACCGAATCGGTGGAGCCTGAGAAAGATGCCAAGGAAAAGTCTGGGCTTTCCACCCGGGACTGCAGCCGTGTGGGTACCCTGGCCTGCCAGGAGCCTGCAGGGAGGCAGATGCAGCGCAGCTACACTGCTCCAGACAAGACGGGCATACGAGTCTACTATAGTCCCCCAGTGGCCCGGCGCCTGGGCGTCCCTGTGGTCCATGACAAGGAGGGCAAGATCCTCATTGAACCAGGCTTCCTCTTTACCACAGCCAAGCCCAAAGAGTCAGCCGAGGCAGATGGACTGGCCGAGAGTTCTTATAGCCGGTGGCTTTGCAACTTCTCCCGGCAGCGCCTGGATGGAGGATCTGGGGGCAACACCTCGGCTTCTGGACCTGCTTTCCCGGCAGCCCTGCATGACTTTGAAATCTCGGGCAACATGAGTGACGACATGAAGGAGATCACCAACTGTGTGCGGCAGGCCATGCGCTCTGGCTCGCTGGAGAGAAAGGTAAAGAGCACGTCCAGCCAGACGGTGGGCCTGGCCAGTGTGGGCACACAGACCATTCGGACAGTCAGTGTGGGCCTGCAGACTGACCCACCCCGCAGCAGCCTCCATAGCAAGAGCTGGTCACCCCGCAGCTCCTCTCTCATGTCAGTACGCAGCAAGCAGATCTCCTCTTCCCTGGACAAGGTCCACTCGCGCATTGAGCGGCCATGCTGCTCGCCCAAGTATGGCTCCCCCAAGCTCCAGAGGCGATCAGTGTCCAAGCTGGACAGCACCAAGGACCGTAGCCTGTGGAACCTGCATCAAGGCAAGCAGAATGGCTCCGCCTGGGCCCGCTCCACAACCACACGGGATAGCCCGGTGCTGAGGAACATCAACGATGGGCTGTCCAGCCTTTTTAGCGTGGTGGAGCACTCAGGGAGCACAGAGTCTGTCTGGAAACTGGGCATGTCTGAGGCCCGAACCAAGCCCGAACCTCCCAAGTATGGCATTGTACAGGAGTTCTTCCGGAACGTGTGTGGACGGGCCCCGAGCCCTACGACTGCAGCAGGAGATGAGAGTTCCAAGAAACCAGAACCTCTTTCCCCTGCCAGCTACCATCAACCTGAGGGTGTAGCCAGGATCCTGAATAAGAAGGCAACCAAGGCAGGTGGTAGTGAAGAGGTCAGACCCACCATGCTTTCCCAGGTGGGGAAGGATGGCGCCCTTCGGGATGGAGATGGAGCCTTAATTCTTCCCAGTGAGGTATGGATGGGCTTAACCTTCTATCAGGATGGGGGAATTAGCCTAGAAAGTTCACGTGTTTGTTTTGTTTTGTGCTGTATTATGCTTTTTTATTCTTTAAAGTCACACTGTTCTGTAGCCCCGGTTGGCCTTGAACTTTCTGTGTGGCTCAGGGTGACCTTAAACTCCTGATCCCCTTCGTGTTTACCTCCAGTGTGCTGGGATTATAGGTTTGTGCATGACACCTGGTTTATATGATCTGGGATGGGCATAAACATACCTGACCTGAATAATACACGTCTAGTGCCAAGAGATGGGTGGACATGCATAACCATTTGCTTTGCCACCGTGCTGCAGAGATCTGCAGCACACCTCCAGAGGAGATGTGCCTGCGGAGTGGCTTGTTGGCCTTCTAAGTTGTTAGCATTCTGTGTGTGCCTTGGTAGCTTGAGATTGCTGTAACAAGAGGATAAATGACAGGAAAAAGCTTCGAAAAGCTCCAGATCAGAGCTTTATCCACCCCTATTTTAGAAGGCTGGTTCTACCCCTTTCACCAGCTGCCCCGTCCCCACTCCAACAAGGCTTCATGTCTAAGTCTTCTGAGAATGTCTTACTGCATGCCCCACTCCTGATACCAATTTTGTTGTGTTACGGATTGTTTGAAATTTAGTAAAGGAATGTGTCTACATTTGTGTTTGAGATTGGAAGGAGTGGCTTCTGCAGGATCGTAGAGTCTCAGGGACCCCTGAAGTGGGTTTGGTGAATTCCGCAGCATTTCCCTCTTCTCTTGCTTGAACTCTGATTTCTTCTGTTGCTCCTCTCTTTCTTTCTGTTTCTTTTTAAATATTTTGTTTTTATTGTTTGCCATTGATGTTTGGCCTGCATGTATGCCTGTGTAAAAGTGTCAGATCCCCTGGAGCTAGAGTTACAGACAGTTGTTAACTGCCATATGGGTGCTGAGAATTGAACCCAGGTCCTCTGGAAGAGCAGCCAGTGCACTTAACCAGCCATCTCTCCAGTCTCCTGGGGCTTTTTTCTTTTAAGATTTATTTATTTTGGGCTGGAGAGGTGGCTCAGAGGTTAAGAGCATTGCCTGCTCTTCCAGAGGTCCTGAGTTCAATCCCCAGCAACCACATGGTGGCTTATAACCATCTGTAATGAGATCTGGTGCCCTCTACTGGTGTATAGGCACCCATGCGGGCAGAACACTGTATAAATAATAAATATATAAAAAAAATTAAAAAAAAGATTTATTTTATATTTATGTGTCTATATTTGAGTCCACTTGAGTCCTTTTGCATCATGTGTGTGAAGGTGCCTACAGAGGCCGGACACCGTCAGGGCCCCTGAAACGAGTTACAGGCACCTGTGAGTGTCTGATGTGGGTTCTGGGAACCAAACCCTGGTCCTCTGCATGAGCAGCAAGTGCTCTTAACTGCTAAGCCATCTCTCCAGCTCTCTCTTTCCTTGTTCTCACTCACTCCTCCCGCATGCCTAAGGATCAGGTAGATCATTGCTACTCTGGTTCTATATCTTCCAATCCAAGCACCTAAGAGACGTTGACTCAAATCCCTCTGGCCCAGTTCTGTAGTTTCAGGAGAAAGAAATTGATTGGCTTAACCTGGATGAAATGTACCCCCGTGGTTGGTTCGGCTGTAGATGGGGTGGTCCTACGGTGTACTCAGGGCTGGAGGAGGCCATAGATGGGATTGTGCCTGACCCAGCAGGTCCATTTCTCCATTTCTGTGTTTAGGTGGTTTCCAGTTTCACCCCGTGATAAAGAATGCTGTATTGAATGTCTTGTTTCTTTAAGTTTGAGCTTCAGAAATAGGATAAAAGAATATTTAAAAATTCTTTTAATTCAAATAAGGCATTTGATGTATCACCAAATAGTCTTCTAGAAGAGGTTGTCTAGATTAGGGTCTAGCTCAGTTGTACAACCTAAGTCAGTAATGTTAGTCCTAGTATATTCAAGAGAGGAAGGTGGGGGGAGAATGAGGAGGAATATGAGAATGAACGAGAGAGCCTCATTTCTAAGGCCTAGCATAGGGTCTGGTCAACGATTTAGATCTGGTCTGAGTCTCAAGGCCTGAGGACGAGGACAGTTAATACTTTAACCGGTTCTGAAGGTCAGCAGCCTCATGGCTAGGAAGTGCCCTTGTTTCAGTTTAAGTCCAAAGGCAGGAAAAGGGACCAGCAAAAAGTGCTTGCCCCCAAGCACGCTGATCTAGGTTTGATACCTAAAGCTCACAAGGTAGAATAAGAAAAGTGACTACCACTGCACGGATGCATATACGTATAGCCCACAATACAAAATAAATGAGTAAATGTTTTTAAAATTAATAAAAGTGAAAGCAGGAAAAAAAATCCGGTGTCCCCAGTCTATAGGTGTCAACCATGAAGAGTTCGCTTACTCTGGGGAGAGACAGCCCTTTTGTGCTATTCTTACATAAATGCCCAGAATAATGTTGGACGTGGTGTCTAAGGGCTCTGTGGCTTAGTCATGTTGATATAAAATGAGCCATCACAAACCAAAAGTGGTGGCTGGCACACACTTTTAATCCCAGCATTTTGGAGACAGAGACAAGAGGGTCTCTATCAGTTCGAGACCAGCCTGATCTACATGGCAGGTTCCAGACCAGTCAGGCCTACATAGTGAGACTTCGTCTCAAAAAGCAAAACAACAGCAACATCATGTCCATAAAACCAACACTGTAAGTAAACAGTGTGAGCCGGGCGATGGTGGTGCACGCCTTTAATCCCAGCACTCGGGAGGCAGAGGCAGGCGGATCTCTGGAAGTTCGAGGCCAGCCTGGTCTACAAGAGTTAGTTCCGGGATGGGCACCAAGGCTACAGAGAAACTTTGTCAAGAAAAACCAAGCCGGGCGTTGGTGGCGCACGCCTTTAATCCCAGCACTCGGGAGGCAGAGGCAGGCGGATCTCTGTGAGTTCGAGACCAGCCTGGTCTACAGAGCTAGTTCCAGGACAGGCTCCAAAGCCACAGAGAAACCCTGTCTCGAAAAACCAAAAAAAAAAAAAAAAAAAGTTTAAAAAAAAAAAAAAAAGAAAGAAAGAAAGAAAACAGTGTGAGGCCAGGGAGCTGGCCCAGCTTAGAACATTTACTGCTCTTGCAGAGGAACTGGGTTCAGTTCTCAGTACTTACTTGATGGCTCAGAACTGCCTATAACTCCAGTTCCAGGAGATCCTATGCCCTCTTCTGGCCTCTGGGCACTGCACACACATGGTGCATTTACATACAGAAGGCAAAACTTTCAGACACATGTAAATCAATACATTATTTTTTAAAAAAGAAAGAAAGAAAGCAGCAACAGTAGAGGACTAGAGTGTGGTTTGATGGTAGAACCACTTGCCTAGCACACAAGAAGCCCTGAGTTCAATTCCCAACACTTCCAAAGAGAAAGAAAGGAAAAGGGAATGTGTCGTTTAGCCTTTTCGGGTGCGTAGCGGATACTGTGCCGTACCGTTTACACGTCGTGTTAGCCATGTCAAGGGCACAGCGGGTACTGTGCCGTTCCACTTACATGCTGTGTTTGATTTGACCCTCACAGCACTGAGAAACACAACCTGCTTTTGCTGCAGAGAGGAGGAGATAAAGGCTCATAGATATGTCATTTGCCTAGTAAGTGCAGAGCCAGAACTGACCAGAAAAATCAGGTTCAGCAGCAGTGCTTTTGACCATTTCTGTGTTCTGGTAATTACAAGAATGAATGAGCCTGGCATGGTGGCGCACGCCTTTAATCCCAGCACCGGGGAGGCAGAGGCAGGTGGATCTTTGAGTTGGAGGCCAGCCTGGTCAACAGCCAGAGCTACACAGAGAAACCTTGTCTCAAAACAAACAAACCAACAAACAAAAAAACCTGAAAACAAGAAAGAAAGAGTGGATCTGCCTAAATATACTCAAAAATGGATTGGGTATGGGCTGGAGAGATGGCTCAGTGGTTAAGAGCATTGCCTGCTCTTCCAAAGGTCCTGAGTTCAATTCCCGGCAACCACATGGTGGCTCACAACCATTGGAATGAGGTCTGGTGTCCTCTTCTGGCTGCAGACATACACACAGACAGAATATTGTATACATAATAAATAAATAAATATTTAAAAAAATGGATTGGGTAATCCCTAGTACTCCCCGGGGAAGAGGAAAGCATTTACCAGATGTTGAGAGCACATACCCATAATTCCAGTACTTGAATAGCTGAGACAAAAACACCACAAGTTGAGGCCAGCCTGGGCTATGTAGTGATTTCAAGCCGTTGGAGCTACATTGTGTGACTATCACAAAGAAGCAAACAGAAAAGTAAATTGGAGCTGAGGATGTCACCAAGTGGTTGAGCATCTGCCTGGCCTGCTAAAGGCCCTACGTTCCATCTCTAATGATGGGGTTGGGAAGTGGGGAGTGAATTGGAAGATATTTATTTCCATTCTGTAGAGTATAAATGAGCCATTAAAACAGAGACCCAGAGGCTGGAGAAATGTTCAGCAGTTAAGAGCACTGACTGCTCTTCCTGAGGACCTGGGTTCGATTCCCAGCACCCACATGCTGTGTATAACTTCAGTTCTAGGGGATCTTCTTCTGGACTCTGTGGACATTGAATACATGTGGTGCACCGTCACACATGCAAGCCCAAACACAGTAAAAATGACAGCAAAACAAACCAACAGCAACCTAGATATTCGCAGTGGCAGAGAAGGGTTTGTATTTTGCAAATGTAAAAATATAAACGTTGGGGATGAGGCTGGTGTATACATGTGTAGAACCATGGATAATGTCTGCTTTCTTCTCTGTGTCTTCCAGACTTTATTAGAATGAGGATCCATTGCTGCCCTAATAGGAGTAACGTGTTAAAGATTGGTCTAGAACAGGGTTGCAGCCCCTGGGAAGCAATGTGAGACATGGCTGAGTCCCGGCTCCTAGGTGGCTGCAGCCAGCCCCTTGGGCTGCTCCTGACCTCTTCCCTGTCTCTTTCCAGGATGCTGTTTGTGACTGTAGTGCCCAGTCTCTGGCCTCCTGCTTCGTCCGGCCATCCCGCAACACCATCCGACACTCTCCTTCCAAGTGCAGGCTGCATCCTTCAGAGTCAGGCTGGGGTGGGGAGGAGAGGGCAGCCCCCCAGTGAGTCACAGAGCAGCCAAGCTCCCCGCCTCAAGCAGCCTAGACCCTGGAGATGAGGCAAGGGGTCACGTCCTCAGCCTCGCTCTGCCTGGGAGGAACAGCAGCTATGCCACTGCCAGAGAAGAGCTTTTCAAGGTAAAGCAGGGTGTCCCACTGACTGCTGGGAGGTGACCTCTGATTTCCAGGGGAAGGCAGTGAGTAGGAGAAAAGACCAACCTGGGTGATCAGGACTGGGCTTCCCAAGCACCTGAAGAACACCGCACATTTCTGGGCAATCCCCAGGAATGTGGCTCACAGAGATACTCCCTACTGACCGCATGTGGAGAAGCCACTGAGAAGATTGGGGCTTTGCTTGGGGCCCAGCTTGACGCTCTTGAAAGAGCTGGGCTGGGCAGTGTGACCATCGCTTCTTCTTTCCTCCTCCCAGCTTTACTAATCAGGTTGCTGGGCCTTCTTGGAGCAGGGAAGGGGGATATGATAGAGCAGAACCAAGTCCACTTGGAATCCTGGAGCCCTGGATCCCCCTGCCTGTACCTCCACGTAGCAAGAGCTGGGGGCAGGTAAGAGTGTGTCAGGTTCCAGTTGGAGATCAGAAGAGCTGACTCCCTTGTCAAGGTGACTTGAAGGCCCAACTTGCATAGCAGACTCCTTGACAACAGAAATGGGTAGGGTCCCTCTCAACACCTGATGCAGAGGTAAAAGCCTACATGCCTTGCCTTGATTCCCTAGGGCCTCTTTCTTGGTAGCAGGGATGGGTGCCACAATCCTGCATCAAGGAGGGGGCAGAGATGCTCCCTGGGAGAGACTCTGTTGTTCAGGTCAGGCCAGAGAGCACCAAGAGGCCAGTGGCCCATGACACAGCCCGAGACAAGGGCCTACAAACATTTCTTGCCTAGATTGTTTATTTGAATTTTTCATACTATAAATATTTAAGGTGATTTATTTTAATAATTTAACTTACTGCCCCCCCCCCCCAGCCCTTAAGGTAATTTATTAGAGGTATTCTTGCCACAGGGACAACATGGGGCTTGTGACACCATGGAGTCCCCCATGTGGTTGAGGCAGCTCAGCACCAGGCTCACATGGCCTGGTTTCGTCAGAAGGGCCCCTTGGCAGAACTGGGGCTCTGCACCTTGTTCCCCCAATACCACTGGCCATTTAGTCTCAGATGGCTACATTTTACTCATCACCCGGTACTTGGCCTGGCCGCTACAGGCCAGCTTGTGAATGCTTCAGACATGGTGTAGGCCAGAATGATGTCATCACTCCTCAGACATCCTTCATGATCCCTCGCATCCCTCATCCCTCCCGGCCCTCCAGCACCTTTCCTCACAAGTCAGACGTAGATGACTGCAGCTCTCTTCTGAGCACAGCGACCAGCTCTGTGCGCCCGTGTAAGAACTCGCAGGAAAACAGGATGGACTTCTAGAATGTTCTCTATTGCTGCTTTGCACATGGATCTGAGAGTGTCTACCAGCCTGCCAGCCTGTTCACCAGCCCTTCTCTTAGCCTTATAGCCACTCATGGCTCTTCTTCTAGCCCCAGCTCTACTGCCTGTCCTTCCTACACCCCCAGGAGTCGCCTGAGCCACACCAGTGTAACTCGAACTGCAGTAGAGGGAGCTCACCTGCCTCCCCTTGGTGCCAATGACGCGCTGCCCTCCTTTTCCTGGCTGGGGATTCGGACTCATCCGAGGATGAATTGGCTTCTGTGCAGAGTTCCCCATCAGGAAGACAGAGAGCCAACTGCAGAGGTAGTTTCCTCCAGGACCAGGGAGATGCCTCTGGTCTCCCGCCTACCGGTTTCCAGGCTACCTCTTTAGGGACACCTGGAACGGTTACCCAAAGCCCCTCGACCCCATTCCCTATGGGCAGTATAGCAGGGTCAGTCCCTCACACCAGCTGTTGCCTCGTGTCCTAATGACTTGCACGGGCAGAGTCAGCAGGCCGGTGGACCATGGGCCAGGTCCCTCCAGGATGCTCCTGCTCTCCTCCAAGAGGTCAGAGGCCCCTCTAAGGTTATCTCCAGCCGAGGGGACCAAATCAGGCCACAAGCCACCAGAGGCCTTCTGCCACCTCCCAGAGCGCTGAGAGCCAGGGAGTCTTGAAGAAAAGCCCCCTAGACCTGAATCCCAGGGCTTAGGGGCCACTCAGCCTTACCATCTGTCCCATCTGGGTTGTCGTGCATTCCCACTGTCTCAGCACCTGGCCCCCACTGCCCCCAGCAGGTGTTGCAAGCTCCAAGTCTTGGTTTTCAGTCCCTGTTTCTAATTCTTGCTTGCCACTGTGCAAGGCCACCTGTCATTGTCCCTATCGAAGCCTCCATACACAGGGCTCAATGGGGATGAAAATGTTACATGTAAATATTGGTTTGGTTTGATCTTTAGCATTTTGCTTGGTAACTGGTTCTGTTTTCTTTTGGGGGGTGGAAGGGTTGGTTTGTAAATCTCTCTACTCTTTTGAAATGTAATTTCTAAGTTTGTTTGTTTCTTCAAATGCCTTTTATGTCTTAGTAACATTCCCAAAGCAGAAAACTGCCTGGCCTACATGGGGTACTCCCCTGGAGGCCCGGGGTCATGGGAAGGAGCAACACCCTTCCTCTCAATCCATCCTCTTTCTGTTCACCTCCATTTTTCTCCTTTTCCTTCAGCCCTCTACTTCCTTTTCCTCCCTCTCTCTCCCTCTCCCCACCTCTCTCTCTCTCCCTCTCCCTCTCCCCCCTCCCCTCTCTCCCTCTCCCTCTTCCAGTGTCCCAAAGGAACCTTGGGGCCCTAGTCCTCTAATAGATTGCCTGGCTTGGGTCCACAGGGTTGACACAGATTGGCTGGGGGCATGAGGGTGAATTGCATGATTGACACTAATCTATATCTCACATCTTCCTGGGGATAAACCAAATTAGACCGTCTTGGAGGCAATGGTGATGGGTTTTGAAATAAAATTCAGAGCCCTTGAGACCCCCCTGACTGAACAAGGAGAATCCATTTCCCTTTGCCCTGTAGCCTTCCTCCCAGTCCTTATCCTACCAAGGCTTGTTCTCCAGGAGCTCGAATTGGGCCCTATCTCTTGGCCTCTCCAGGGATGTTCGTCTACCAGCTGGCCTCCAGGTGACAAAAATAAGCACTCAAAAAACTTGACCTGGACACCACTATGCCACTCCCTGTATCTTTTGTGGATGCCTCAGTCACTCAGCTTTGTCTCTTGTCCAGAGACCCTTCCCCCACCTGCCTCTGCCTCCGGAGTACTGGGATTAAAGGTGTGCATCACCACTGCTCGAGGGCAGCTCTTAAGAGGCTTTTTGACAGGCCAGGGCTTAGCGATCTCATTCTACAGTTCTCACGCCGGAGCCTGGAACCAGGAAGATATCTGACTTACAGCGGGACTCTTGCCTGCTTTCTGTACAAACTCACTGGGACGCTGGCTAGGGTCAGAGCATCCCAAATTTGCCACTGCCGAACCCAGAGGCAAGACTTGCAACTCTCTGAACCTTTGGGGTTAGCTCTCTGGGAGATCCGTATGCAGCAGTGACTGGTGTTTACACTCACAGGTCCAACCATTCACAGCTGATACATGATGAGCCAGTGCTCATGGTGCTGGGTCCTTGACAGGAGCCCTGAGCAATGAGCTGGGATACTGGGGACGGGGGTGTCTCAGCCAAACTCAGCTTTGGGTAAATTGCCAAAGATTTCCAAAGGGCACCAAAAACAGTGTTTCACCTTAGTCACGTGTTTCGTGAAATAACCAAGCTAGAAGTGTTGAGGCTGATGGCGGCACAGCCCTTTCATCGCAGCTACTCAGGAGGCTGAAGCAGGAGGATCAGTTTCAAAGCCTGTTTGGGCTAAAGAGTGAGTTCATGGTCAGCCTGGGCAGTTTTCTGAGGCCTTGTCTCAAAATGAAGATTTTAGAAAGCGCTGGGTAGCTCAGTGGTAGATGCTTGCTTCGCATGTGTGAGGCCCTGGGTTCTTTTCCTAGTATTGGAAAACAAAGAAAATGAGAAAATCAAAGGGTGAGGACTGGGGACATGTATGTCAGTAGTAGAGCACTTGCCTAGCGTAGGGAAAAAGAAGAAGAAAATCTTCCCCCAGTCTCCCCACTATAATCCCCATAATTACATAATTTAAGTTGTACTGCACCCCTTGCTTTTTGTTTGTCTGTTTTTGTTTTCAGACATGATCATGCTATGTATCCCTGGCAGATCTGGAAATTGCTATTTTGACCTTAAACTTGTAATTCTCCTGCCTCTGCCTCCCAAGTTTAATGAATTAACGATTAATAGGCGTGCGGCACCATCCACAGCCTTAAATTTCATTCTTGAGTTCCCTGGCAGTCACGGTAAGACAAGAAGCATATCAGGCCTTTATCGTTTCCAGCCATCTGTCGTGTGAGGCAAGCGTGTTTGCTCAGAGACAGACTGATGTGGAAGCGTGAGTTCTTTCCTCGAAGACCGAGGAGCTGCTTGGTTTGCCCAAGACAAAGCTTGTTTTCTGGGTGACTGTTTTACAGAATAATAAACTGCCACCAACTTGAATGACCTTGGCCAGATCACATAGCTAGTCTATGCCTCAGTTTCCCCAGCCACAGAGTGGTGGCTATGCCAAAGACCAAATATATCATGCCCGTTCGTCTCCTGAGAAAAGCTGGCATTCTATCAAATCTGAAGTGAAACTGAGCGCTCTCAGAGGCATTGAGGCGCTCGGTGCCCTGGCTCTGGTGGTGGTGTGTACCTCCTTCTCTCATTGGCCTTAAAATAAATAGAAGGGACCACAAGAGAATCTCAGTCATCATGCTCACATTTTAAAATGCTACTGTAGTCTGTTTAAGTGTGTGTGTGTGTGTGTGTGTGTGTGTGTGTACGTGTGTACACACGTGCTAGGAATGAGACCCAGCATGTGAGTGTGTGTGTGTGTGTGTGTGTGTGTGTGTGTGTATACACACGTGCTAGGAATGAGACCCAGCCTGTGAGAGAAGCACTTTACCACTGAGACACATCTTCAATGCCTAACAGGCTTTTTAAAAAAAACATTTTTATTTAGAGACAGGGTCTCCTGTATCATCGGCTGGCCTCCAACTCACTGTGTAGCCCAGGATGACTTGAATTTCTGATCTTCCTGTCCATCTCCGTTGGCATTAGCCACAACCCCTGGCCATAGTATCTTTCATGGACATTCACAGTATTGTGTCACCACTACTAGCTCCAGAACTTTTTCTTGGTCCCAAACTGAAATTTCACCCCCTCATAATAATTAATAAGTGACCCATAGACAATAATTCCCACCCTTGCCCCAGGGCTGAATGACCTCTGCTCTATTTCTTTTTTACACTGGCCTGTTTTAGGTACTTGTGTCGGCAGAATCCAACATTTATCCATTGTGTCTCACCCGTTCATGTTTTACTTGTGGAGAAGGGAGTGGCTTGCCCAAGGCCTCACAGCAAGGCATAGGTGGAGGTGGCTACCAGCTCCTGGCTCTCAGAAGATTTTCTACAGTGTGCATGAAGCGTGCTCTGAGGTCTTGGCTGAATCTGCATCTTCCCCCCTCACCCCACCCCTTCCTTTATCATCGTCCATATCATCAGCTCTATAGTATCATCTCTTCCTGCCACCACTTCCTGGCTGGTTTCTGCCACCAGATGAAGTGGTACTAACCTAGGACCAGGTTTTCTTCTCTGGGACCCTGGGATTTTTACAATGCCAGCCCTCAGCCCTCCCATGTCCTCTGGTACACTCTTCCCTCTTCTGTATGGACTTTTGTCTGACCTTGGCCATCTCCTCCCTAGCCCTACAAACTCATACCCCCACCCCCTCAGGGGAGGATCATGTCCAGTCTGTCCGTCTCCCAAGGTTTGCTCTCAGATCTGGAATTATCCAGTCTTGTGTTTATTTTGTATTTTTCCTAGAGGAATCCCCTTTGTTCTGTGCATCATGCATCACCATCTCTTCCAGCCCTTCTCGTCAGACTCATCCCACTCCAGCAACCTCCCAGCCTAGAACACCCCCAGTCCCACCCCGCTCTCTGCTTCCTGTCTTCCCTGCTTCTCCCAATACAGCTGCATCACCTTCCACCGGGAGGATGTGAGGTGGACATGGACCTTTTGGGTCTTCTCTGCCCTGCCCACTTCTGGTGACCTTGGTATAAAGCAGGGGAAATTTGACTTCTCTTTGGTTTTGTCTCTCTGTCCGTCCGGTCTGTTCTCCTCTGCCCTGACTCTTCTCTTGGCTCTGCCTTTGATTCTCTGTGCCTTATTTTACTTCTCTGCACAGGGGGGCTCACCCACCACCTCTTTCCCAGCATTTGTCTAGATCTCTTGGTACCTCTACAGCTGGGCCTTGCCATCATGACTTGCCATAGGAGTACCAGGTTGCCAAGGCAACTGGGGGTACTTCTGAGGACTAGTGTCTCTCAAACTCTGTCCCTGTAGTAGAGCGTCACCAGGAAGGGTGACAGAAGTGCAGATTGTTGGCTGCGTCCAAGACCCATGGAAGCAGGCCGGGGAAGTTAGGGTTGAAAGAGCCTCCGGGTCATTCTGATGTAGACAAGTTTGCCAACGACAACAACAACAAGGTTGTTGGTCTAGATGAACTGTCAGCTCAGCTTGGGCAGTACCTGGGCCTGGCCTGGGCCAAGAACAATGGAAAACAACCAGTCAACCAGACTTGTAGATTCAAGGCCTCTGTCCCCGAATAAAACATCACTGTGGCATCTCCTATTTTTGGAAGCTGGAATTGGGGGGAGGAATGGCCCTGCAGCTTTCCTGTTACCTCCCTGGCTCCATTTCAACCCAGCTCACCATCCCTCTCAAATTTGCATTTTGTGGAAATCTGTATACGTGGTCCCAGCAGACAAGCAGGAGGATGGGGGAGTCCCCAGAGGCAGGAGGCAAAAAGGACCCTTTTCACTTTTCCCTTAGGCTCCTCACCATTGCCCAAGGGAAGGACACTTGCTGCAAGGAGAGAATCCCAAGCCCTGTCCCCATCAGCACTCCCACACCACACCTCCTTATCCTCCCAATCCCAGGGAGATCTGTAACAGTGCCAAAAACCAGTTCCAAAACCCAGTACTTGGGAAAGAGCTAGAAACTGCCTTTCCTCGTCCTGGCTCCCCTCCCCCACCTAGCCAATACTGTGAAGCCCCTTCCTGCTCAGCCTGGTTTCCTGGGGGATGGTCCTGCAGTCGTGGGCCCTGGGGGACCCCTCAGGAGGGAAGGGACCAAGGGCATCTTTGGGCCAATCCAACTATCCACCTCTCCTTTCCACTATTCTCCCTTCCTCCCCCTTCTCTTCCTTCTCCTCCTCTTCCTTCCACTATCCCCATCTGCCTTTCTGCCTTTAAAGGCTCCTTCCTGCGATGGATTGGGTGATAGGAGGACCGTAGTCTAGTCCACCAGCTCTCCTCGCCCTGTGTCTTATTTCAGACATGACAACTGTACAGTGTAAACTTACGAAGTGTTTTTAATGGTTGTAGATTGGAAATAAAGTATGTCATATAAATGGTTGCCTGCATTCTGCTCTCTGCTTTTCCCTGGAGAGGCTGGCGGGGCCCCAGCAGATTTGAAAACTGACTGCATCCCACCTGGGATTGCTTAAGAGGGGAAAACTGAAACCAGCTGGCTGCTTTGGAATCACCTAGATGGGGCCATCCGGGGTTCTGGTGGCTCATGGCTGGTAACTTAGTCTCCTAGGAAGTGTGTCATTGCTACTGAGAAACAAATGCAGAAAAAGAGAATTAGGCTTTTCTATAACACAATAATTTATTTTTTAATTAATTAATTAATTTTTTTTTTTGGTTTTTCGAGACAGGGTTTCTCTGTGGCTTTGGAACCTGTCCTGGAACTAGCTCTGTAGACCAGGCTGGTCTCGAACTCACAGAGATCCGCCTGCCTCTGCCTCCCGAGTGCTGGGATTATAATTTTTTAATATTTATTTATTATGTATACAATATTCTGTCTACATGTATGCCTGCAAGCCAGAAGAGGGCACCAGACCTCATTACAGATGGTTGTGAGCCACCATGTGGTTGCTGGGAATTGAACTCAGGACCTTTGGAAGAGCAGGCAATGCTCTTAACCGCTGAGCCATCTCTCCGGCCCAACACAATAATTTATTATGGTGGAAAAGATACTTTTAGACATTATAGTGGAATTAATCATCCCAAATGTATCATATCTACAATGTTGTGGACTGCGATTTGGGGAGCGAGGCATGGTTTCTGGAGGCTAGCAGTCAGATATCAACTAGGCTATGAGTATTTGCACCTTTGCGTGTCTAGGAATGGAACCCAGGATCTGTCTCATGCATGTTAGGCGAGCTCTCTACCAGAAAGCTATAGGTCTAGGCAGCCTGAGTTACTCAGATTCCTGTCTAGAGCTGGAAGAGCCCTCTACAAAGTGGCTAATTCACAAACCCGGGAAGTCAGCACTGGCTCTCAAGACTCAGTTCCTTGACGTGTGGGGTAGCTTGTGTATCTGTGCAGTGTGGCCACTAACTGTCCTCAGGACAAGTGATCTTTGAGAGAGCAGAGTAGAAATCACAAAGTCTTTTATGGCCAAGCTTAAAAGTTACATTTTGGGGGCTGGGGGGATGGCTCAGTGGTAAGAGCACTGGCTGCTGTCTCAGAGGACCCAGGTTCAATTCCCAGCATTCACAACTGTCTGGAACTGCGGATTTGATATCCTCATACAGACAAAAACACCAATGCACATGGAATAAAAACAAATAATAAAAAACAGATTAAAAAGTTACATTTCTATGGTATTTTATTGGTTATATAAAGCCAACTCTTTTCAATGCAGGAGGACTAAGCAGACACTCTTTACTGTAGGAAGAGATTGCACACCAGGAAAGGGTCACTGGGGCCATCCTGGAAGTGGCCTCCTGTATGTGAGAGACTCAGTAAAGAAACTGCCAACATAATCGCTCCGTGATATGGTTAAGGTTTTTATTGTAGATATGAGACAAAATGGCCAGAGGCATCTGAAAGAGTCCAGAGCAGAGAGAGAGAGAGAGAAAGAAGCAGACTGGACATGTCCAGGGCTAGGGAAGTGAGTGAGAATAGTGAAGACAGCCAGCAGGGTAGCAGGAGATGGAGTAGGGCATAGAGGTGAAGGAGTAAGAGAGAAGGAAGTGCGGAAGAGTAGAGACTAGTGAGCTGTAAGGAGAATGAGGAGCTGGGAGGTGGGAATACCACCTGGGAGGGAGTATAAGGTGGAGGAGGATGGAAGAAGGGCTAGCTAGTGTGGTCTCTGAAATGTGTGTAACAGGTACATTTGATAGTGAGGGAGCCTGCAGGGCAGCATGGGCTTTGCTATGCTGAGAGACACCACAGGCAGATGGGAACCAGTTTTGCAAGTTTCCAAAGAATGCTGGTTTTTATTTAACTGCCAGGAATCTTCCTATAGTCCGGTTTTAGCTCATTTCTGGATATTTGGACAGCCTGAGACCTAACAGCTACTTTGGGAGATCTTTTATGGGGGGCTAACAGCAGTCAGACCTGTGCCAGGCATGGAGGATATAATAGGTGGGTGCTGCAGCCCCCCCCCCTTCCAGCCCAGCCTAGATTCAGGTCCTAAAATGGGGAAGGGAGGAAGCACTGGCATGAAGAAATGAATTGTCTGACCACCAACCTGATGAGTGTCACACAAGTGGCCGGCTCCAAATAGGTCAAGCCATCTTTATTTATACATCAAAACAAGCATGTTTTTCCATACTAACAAACACGTTTTCCCCACCCTCTGATGTTAACCTCCAGCAAAAATAAATATGGTTCCCCCTCAAAACATCTTTTAAACTGGAAACACTTGTTTAGCTAATTTGGCCATATATTGAGCCAGGTACATTCTGTCTTTACAAAACTATAAGGTGAAGCCGGGCGGTGGTGGCGCACGCCTTTAATCCCAGCACTCGGGAGGCAGAGGCAGGCGGATCTCTGTGAGTTCGAGACCAACCTGGTCTACAAGAGCTAGTTCCAGGACAGGCTCCAAAACCACAGAGAAACCCTGTCTCGCAAAACCAAAAAAAAAAAAAAAAAAAACAAAAAACAAAAAACACCAAAACTATAAGGTGATAAACATAGGCACACATTTTCAAGAACAACATCGTTCAAAACTTAACAAAGTATATTTATAGAAATAGGGGTGAATTGCTTCTAATCTTGTCAGCACTGAATCTGGACAGCTCCCAAGGTCTGGAGTGACAGCTGGCATCCCCAGACAAGAAACCTGAGAAGCATCAGCTCCCGAAGAACTTTACAGGGAAATATTCAATAAAAATGGGGTTTCCAGGAATGATCACATCTGTCCACGTGTGACTGACAAAGTGACACTAAAAACTTCCAGGAGAATCATCAGTATTATGAGAGAGAGTGTGCAGGCCGTAGAGTCCCAGCAGTGGTCTGTGCTGTCCTGAGGTCCTGGTCCTTGCCTAGTACCTGTGAGCTTTGCCTCATCTGGAGACCTGTTGGACAACCACTCCTATCCTAGCCCAGCCCCCAACAGATAGCCTGGAAAATAAGATATCAATCACCAGTCCCAGAAGTAGGGGGCATCTGAGGAATATACCCAAAGTTGGCATGTTGAGCAAAGTGAGTAGTAAAGAATTGTAGGTAGGAGACAGAGGAGATGGTTCAGAGAGAAAGAACATGCCTGAAAGCCTAGGAAAACCGGGGCAGAGACAGGCATGGTGGCATACATTGGGAGGGAGAGGTAGGAGAATCAGAAGCTACAGTGTCATCCTTAGTGGTATACTGAGTTTGAGGCCAGCCTAGGTTGCATGAGAACCTATTTCAAAGTAAGCAGAAATGGGGGAGGAGATATGAACTCCAATGAAAGCTGGATGTGGATCAGGGAAAGAATTTGTAGGCGTCTTGTAAGGAGGAGGGAGCCACTGGAGAATTCAAGGCAAGGAAAAGACATGGCTGGATGTATTTATTTATTTATTTATTTATTTATTTATTTATTTATTTATGCAATACTCTTTCTGTGTGTATGCCTGAAGGCCAGAAGAGGGCACCATTACAGATGGTTGTGAGCCACCATGTGGTTGCTGGGAATTGAACTCAGGACCTTTGGAAGAGCAGGCAATGCTCTTAACCGCTGAGCCATCTCTCCAGCCCCCATGGCTGGATGTTGACTGGCATTGGATTGCATGAGGCAGTAATCTCAGTGTCCCAACAAAGCCAGCCCTGACTGGGAATACTAAATTCTGTCTTTGGAAATCAGCACATGAGGTACTGAAGGATGGAGGCGTGGATAAAGGAGCCCAGCTCCCGGAAGTGATGTTCAGGGAACCAAGACCACACCTCTTCCAGATAGGTGTTGAGACTACCAGGCCAGCGTGGTAGAGGAGAAATTTCTGTAACACCCATTTCTATCTTTTATCAGACAACTTGCAAGGGACCATCATTACAATGGAAGAATGGCCAAGTCATGCTTCAGCCACCTGGCTCCTACTCTTTGTTTTTTGTTTGCTTTTGTTCGAGACAGGGTCTCACTATGTAGCTTTGGCGCTCTCTATGTAGACCAGGCTGGCCTCAAACTCTGAGATGTGCCTGCCTCTGCCTTCCCAGTGCTGGGATTAAAGGCATGTTCCGCCACACCTGGCCCTTTGGGATCTTTCTTACTGCTCTCAGTTCAGCATTCATAAGGTTCAGATCAGAAAGAAATCACTTCTTTGATGCATGGGTCCATTATGATGACTCAGTATCTTGTCTTGAGGAATCAGCCCGCTTTGTGAAGCCTCCCAGGCAAAGGACGGTGAAGCAGGCATGGGTTGGTTTCCTGGGAGCATAGAACATCTGGCCTTCAACATGGAAGAGAAGGCTAGAAGGGGAAGAGAAAGGCTTTTCAGGAAAAGTGCCTGTTCGAACAAAGGAGCGGGGCAAGAATTGGCATGGGGAAGCCTGTGATGAGGCTGGTATGGAATGTGCTGGAATTTTGTTGTGTACTTAAGGGACCATGGAAGGGGCCCGTGGAGCAGGAGTAAGTAGGCAGAGACAAACTGAGCTCAGAGTTCCAGGTGTCCCTGGAGAAAGTCACTGTCCACACTTTCGGCGTGAAAGAGATAGAGAGGCAGCCATGGCCCAAGAACGGGTGCCGCACCAGACTCTCTGACTTCCGTGGGTCGGCTGTATGGCAGGAAAGGTCTTCAAAGCGGTGCACTGGAGAAGGAAATCTCCGGGCAGGATGCTGCTGCAGAGATGGTGACCGTAATTGGACAGAACTATTAGGGACAAGATGGGCTGGGCCAGAGCATGGAACACCGGAGTGCGCATGCGCTCTGCCGGAGGCACGGTCGGACGCTCGAACGCAGAAGCCGCTGGCTACGCACGCGCAGTTGTCTGGCGGGAAATTTTGGAAGTAGCGGCAGCGGCGCGGCACCGAGAACTGTACAAACGCGGGGAGAGGACCCTCTGCGGTGACGCCGAGTTTTCAGAGGTGACTTTGTGTTTTAGGAACGGGGGCGGGGGCCCGGGCTGGACGGGTGTCGCTTTGGGGTCAG